TTGTCCTTTACAGAGTTAGTAACTGTGTCATACAAATTGTGCAGAGCGTATCCTTGATTAAACATACCAGTAATTGGACTGGTCTGCCTGTGCCATTTTTTTGCTGACATATTTGCTATATAGTTTACGCTTTTTCTGTAAATCGAGTTTTGATACCTTTGCACCTATGGTTGCATGAAGAGAAAATGCCAGGAGGAGCAGACTTGAAAAATCTTACAAAGGAGGACTTTTATAGAGGATTCTACGAGGTGAATAATGAACAACCAACGATATAAAAAGAGCTCAACGATATAAAAAAGCACAACGATATAAAAAAGCTCAACGATACAATAAGCTCTTTGGTAAAGCGAGTAGAATAGTAATATAGAAACAATCTCAATGATACAGACTAATAGTAATGCTCTGAATAGAAAGTTGTGCAACAAATATTATTGTTTTGGTCTACTACTAGTCTAGTCTAGACTCGAAAGCCAAAGGCGACAATCTCGGTGTGGGGCCGTTCTTTTTAACATGTCCTGCACCTCTAAGTCTTCATGTACGGCTTTCCTGAATCCATGCTCAACAAAAACCACCACTGACTTCTGTGCACCCTGATGGCTATTCGTGCGCTATCACACTCACTAAACTGTGTGAAAATTGTCTCGTCTTCTCACTCTACGCATAATGAACAGATTAAAGCAGCTAGCTCTTAACGACGTATTGCGCTATGATCAAATGCCAATTGTAACTACAAAACGCCTACTTACTGCTAAAATTTTCCGCACTAGTCGACCTTGATTTGACCTTCAACGACATGACTAAGATAAAACTCAAGGTCACCATTGCATAGCCAGGGAGAGGCACTCTTTTACTTGTGCTACAGCGTTTGAATATTCGCATGTATCTTGCCCTTTCAGGACTTTCTGATCGTCTTGTTCATTAATTTAATAAATCTAGTTTGACTTCACCATCGCAGCTTTTTGTAAACATTTAGCGTCTACCGCAAAAGCAGATGCGTAACTGCCATGTAGAGTCCTTTGTATCATTCCGGGGAGAGAAATTATACAGCCTTCAGCATCGCAAGGATCTGACGTCCTTATTATGTGCGGATAAATTCATCAAGTTGGCATGTTATCCCATTACGCACGGTCGCATGATTCCGGAAATGGAAATAATTTTTAAAAAATAAAGGACTCGGGTGCCGTTGAATTACTCCCCATGTTTACATTATCTTTTTTACGTAGTTTGTTTTGTATCATCAAACATAAATATGGAACAAAAAGGCAGCGAGTAATGGATTATATCATGGGTGGAATTCAGACAACAACGTCTATTCCGATGCGTAGATCAAGCATCGCACCACCTTCCACTGGTCTTTGAGCATCCATTACTGTTTTTATATAGGAGACCCGCAAGTCCATAAATTTAAAGTCGCCAACGACACAATTACCTACAGGTGAGATTAACCAGTTTTTGTTTTCAAAAAAGACATCTTCCCTATCTACATACTGTATTGCAATTAGCGATTCCTTATGTTACAAGCCTTTCTGAGATACCATAAAGCTTCTTCCTCAAGACCAAAACTAGGTCAGGTGGGTTTCTCGCAACATTTATATTACTTTTATATTACTTGCGATTTTTCAATGTAATGTGAGATTTGATTAATATTTGTATA